TAATTAACAATACTCTGATGTTATGCATTTGGAAACATTCCCAATTTTTTTTGATCAATGCTTCATCTTCTGATCGTCAGCCTACTAGTGATCCTGATTATAAACATTATAATAAAACATAAATAAAGTTATAGGTTTTCTCCACTTCTAAAGATTCTAAAATTTATTATACTTTTTAATAAAAAAGCTGTTCATCTTAAAAAATTCTGAATCCGAAAAATTAGCCCTAAAAAGGTTCGAAAATAAAAATTTCGGACCACTGACCATTAGGATTCCGAAACTCCACCAATCGGCAGATACTGTATGTCCTTCGTTGCTCACTACTTCCGGTGCCATATATTCCGCAGTACCACAAAAACTATACGTTTGGCCGCCTTTTATCCATCCCTTTGACAGTCCAAAATCCGTTAGTCTTATATGTCCAGCAGCATCCAAAAGAAGGCTGGAAAAAAGGTATTGTTGTAATATAAAAAAGTATCTGGTACACATTTTTGAAAACAAAGAAATACTTGTTTGCTAATTTTAGACTTGATCCAGCACCCGTTTTGAGTGGTTTTATGATGGAGACGTTTCTTCGGCTCACAATAATTGAAAAAGTGTAATTTTTCAGTGATTTCATTTGGTTCGTCAGTACAATTTAGTCCTCGCGTGCTCAACGTCCCAGATGCAATGATCGCGACTATCAGCCGGAATCATCGATCATCTCTTAGTTAAACATATAAACGCACTCTGGTAGCAAATTTTGCCGGTTTCTCCGGCCCAAAAGCTCTTACGTGTTATTTTTTAGGCACTTAGAAGCTCTTTAATTATGCTGTAGATTTATAAAAATTTGCTCAAATGAAATCTTACTTTGCCGGTTTCAGATCTCTGTGTACAATACCCAGTGAGTGCAAATGTCCAAGTGCTAGCGAAATTTCGGCAAGATAAAACTTCACATCATCTTCGGTAAAATTACGCTGAAAATTAAAGAAACTTTCAGTTAATATTTGAACAAATAAGAAAAATTTTACATCTGTATACTCAGCTAGTTAAGTAATCCAACCGACAGAATCACTAGGTTTGCAATATCTTCAGAAGATGAAACAAATATTAGGATCGCCAGCAGGCTGACCATCGGACGATGTCAGCACTGGTCCAAACAAGTAAATAATTGGCCATCGTACGGGCTTCCTGTGCGAAGATGCGTTTTTTGCACAGCTCCCCGCACATTTTTGTCGCTAACGGCACTGGTTTTTCTGGCAGATGCTTATAGCTAAAAGAATTTCAGACTGGCCGCCAGGACTGTCAGGAAACATCCCTTCAAAATCCCAGTCTT